CATGCACTGTGATCAAGGGAAATGCGCAGCCAGAATGATCCAGGTACGTTCAGCAAAGGGAAAGCACAAGGCTTCGTGATGGAAAACATGCAGAAAGCATTCCACGGGGGTGAATAAAAGGGCAAGGAGGAAGAGAGAAGGCATATCCTGTAGAAGGTCAGCACGAGCGTGATTTTAAGGAAGGAAACAGGGATTTGGTATTTCCTTGCCAGAAGGCACATGTTGCTTGGAGCATTATTTCTGCTCATTCTGGGTGGATTGCGTAATAGCATTGCCAGCCATAAGAGCATATTTGCCATGGCATTTTAGTACCCTGAGAGATTCACTTGATTGCTGCCTGGATGTTTTTCTATTTTGCTGATACATACCAATAATATAGTCCATAATGTACGCCGCGAGGAGCAAGGAGGCCTGGTTGCCAAGTGCATTTGAGGTATTCCCAGTCATGATAGACGCAGTGGAAATTCTGAACCTCTGATTCCAGTCTTCCTGTCAAATGAGAAGAAAATAACCACTATTTACCAGTCAGGCTTAGCAGAAATATCATTTTACATCTTTGAACAATTGTGTGCTGCAGTTGAAAAAGAAAAAAGGAAAAGAAGGCCAGTCACTGTTATTAGATAGTTTTGCTGCCAAGTGCTCTGTTTCCTATAAAAGCCAGTTCACTGTACTTAGAGCAGAAAGATGCATAACTGACCTTTTCATTCAGCAGTGGAGCTCGTGCAGGGCAACCCAGCAGAGCCGGGGTACAGGCAGAGGGAAATGAGCCCCAAGTATCCAGTAACCACAACCACAGCCAGTGGAAACAGAGATGCTCTGGTGTCTTATACGTCAACAAGCCCTGCAATGGCTTATCCATCCAGCAACCCTCAGGCCAGCAGTGGTTCATGCAACGGGCTCATGCAAAGTGCAAAACCGCACCAGGTACCGAAGGCTGCTCCTAACCTTGCAATGGGACCTGAAAGGTAGCATAAATCCAGTCACTTTGCACCTCCACGTCATCAGTACACCGTCCTTCGAGCAGAGTCTGTACCTTCACTTCAGCAGTCCTGCTGAGGTCAAATCCAACTCTGAATTTTAGCTTCCTAGTAAAAATAACCTGATTGAAAGACAGACTTTATAAGCACCTCTTTTGTTGCTACGTGGGCTGCAGAATTAGCTAACATTACTCCCGCTCTAGCTGCGAGTAGGCTTATTTGTGTGCTTTAATGTTTCTTTACATTTCTGTCCTGCTTCTCCTGCCCAGTGCTTCTCCAGCACTCTTGTACCACCTGCTCTGCTCAGACTGGCTTTGAGTCCCTCCACCTCACAGGACACAAGCAACGACAAGAAAGCAAACTACGGTTCAAGGGATCCCCACCAGCCAGGAGCACTGGGGAGGGTCTGACAAGGACACCGCCATAAATCTAGATAAAAGGCACTTGTTCATGTTGTGAGATAATCAGAAACAGAAGGAACAATGAGTTTTGTAACTGATGGTTCCCATGGGAAGCACAACCACACCCTGCAAGGATGGAGCAGCAGCCAGGCAGTGCAGCGTGGGCTCACCACCACATGCTGCTGGGCTTAACCCTTTGTGGGACTTTTTGAGTCCCCCCTCTGAAGGTTTTTCTTTTTTTTTTCCCCTCAGACTTACTCCCCCTTACTTTATGCAAGGGAAAAATAAGTTGGCAAGAGTTACAACAAATGGTGAGAGAGAGAATGTGTCACGTTAGCCCAAGCAAGACAGAAGTAACGTCCCATAAAATGCATACGCATGCTGCAGGGGGAACTGCAATGGCACAGTCCACAGTCAGGCTTTTTGTCAGCAGTGTCAGAGTGTAAGAGCCATGTTGAGCCACATCTTTCTAACAGACATTGATGACTTTTGTTTCCGTTGATGTCCCATGGAGTTTTTTCAGACTGACTCTTCTTTGTGACCTTATCTGGGGTCAAGGTTTTGGCAAGGTACCAGAAGTGATTTTTTTCTACTTTTTAGATCTGCCTTGTAAAAGACACTTTTATTACTTGTGACTTGGGGAATTCTGATGTGTTTTTTAAAACTGTATTTTTTTCCCATTGTGCTTTTTAAATGCCAGTTAAAATCATCATAGAAGAATCTGCATAGCTGCACGCTGCTGCATGTCTGGGAGCGTGACGTACATCATGACCGATGTCAGGTCGAAGAGCCCCTTTCCATGCCCTCGCAATTGCAATCTATAGCTGAAACATGGTGGGAGGCACCGTGCTCTTCCACCTCTGCAGGCTCCCATGGAACGGCTGCGCCAAAACCCGTCTGCATGGTGGCTGAGCGCAGCCTGGCAGCCTTGGCTTTGCTGTCTCGGGTGGATGAAGCGGACGACCAGCTCATGCGGGACACGCAGAAAACATTCACAGCAAGAGGCTGGGATCCACAGCACTGCTAACCCGATGTGACTGCTCTTTCTCTCTCTTTCTGGTCTCTTGAGCTGGCAAGCTCTCTAGCACTCTCGCTTTAGGACTGTGCAAAAAAATCTCCCTCTCTTTCAGGACACCAGTCTGTATTTTGGGTTGTTGGGACATCCTCAGTGTATTGTTCATGTGTTCCTCAGTACCTTGCGCCAACCACACAGCCTACTGCTGGGTTTCTCCTCTCCCTACTCCATTTACCTTCCTAACCCTGCAGCAACTTTCATCTTCTAAGCACTCCCAAAATGTATTCCTACAACCCTTCCTGTACTGTGCCTGTCTGCTATTGCCCTGCTACACATCAACGAGAGAAGACTGACAATTTTATCATAGAGCGGAGTTAGAGTCAACCATATCTAAAAGACAAAAGTAAATGGTAATTAGAAACACCCTTCTGGATAAAGGGAATGTTAGACCATTAGGATTTAATCTTTTATTTATTCACCACTTTGCACCCCTAAGGATCTGTTGACACTGAGTTTCAGTTCAAGCCCCGTAAAGACTTTTTAGAAAGTGTAGTGCCTTTTACAATGAGGAATGCTACTAGTTATTATTGGATTATTTTAGGCAGCAAGCACCACACCCTCTGACAGAAATAGCCCCTTCTCTGACTGCTGCTGCTGTTACATATCAAAACACATTCCCGTCTGGCAAAAGATTCAAACCACTGGAACAGTCTGGCTTTTTCATGGAAAGCTGCAACTGCTTTGGTACCACTGCTCCTTGAAACGCAAACATAAACCTGTGCAGGAACTAAAGGCAGACCAATAGCCTGGATTTAAGAGGATTAAACCGTGCTTTGTCTTTCTTACCTTCCAGTCTCTGTCACCAGTGTTGCGGTACTCAAACTTGTATTTTACTGTGCATTCATTGAAGGTTTGTACATTGAGTGGAGGTTTCCACTCTATATCAAGAGAACCTAAGAGTCCAGGATCAGTAATCTGAAGGTCTTGTGGGGGAGCAACTAAATTGAAAACAAAGCAGAGGGTAAAACAGAGTGTCGATGTAAAGAAAAAAAAAAAGGCTGTGAAATTTGATGAGATGACAAATGCAGCTGCTGGATGTGGAGGGAAGCACTGCTGGTCCAGGTCCAACCCTGGCTATTTAATAGCCTGTTCTCAACAAACATGCACAAGCTCTACTCCTGCCCACCCCTCAAAAAACAGTTTTTGCTGATGCTCAGAGAAAACACTCAAGGACCATTGAAAAGGCACAAAGAATGCTGCATCTTTAACACTCTTTTTCAAGATGTTTTAAGCAAAACTACTGTCCTGGGATGACCTTTCAAGTCCTGTATTTGCTTACTTTTAACTCATGATATTTACTGACTGTCAGGACAAATATCCTTGCAAACATTGTGTTCAGCACATACACCAACATAGGATGACGGATCACAGCATGCTGTCAGGAAATTTTATGTTCCTTAACCATAACAGACATAAAACACCCATATGGCTTTATATATTCCTTTCAAGTATATTAAAGATTAATGAAAAACCAAGACAAAAAACATACAGAAGCAGAAAAGCAGAGTTAAAAATCGTTCTTACTTTGGACTTCTATCAGCTATACAAAAATGTGCCTTTACAGTCAATCTGGCTTTTATTAAGCTATTGTAGGGTGCTGCCATATGTCAACAAATCAGCACATATTATGGATGAATTCCATACTAAGACATGCCTCCTAAAAGCCTAGCTCTGTATGGAGCTGTCATTCACACGACGAAAACTGTTCGGCTATTCAGTTTTATTAGTTTAAACGAAATCAATTTTTGTAACATCTAAGGCCATTTTTCTCCACTGTTTAGAGGTGAAGTTAGCCATTTGGGTTTCTACATATTCACTGCATGATACACTTTTTTCATGGTGATTTGGAGCCCATGTCCTGGCAGTGTCAGTCCAGCATTGCTACCACTTCTCTGTTTGAATCTGGCCTCCAGGTCACTGGCTTCTCTGCCACCTCATGTCTTCGTCAGGATTTACACCATTTTTTCCTTTTATTTTTTTAATAAATCCATTGTGAAAGCAGACCCTGAGACTATCTTTCAGTGGAAGATGGTGATATAAATCAAACTTCAATGTGCTCCTCAGAAAGTTTGCAGAGAACATCGTTGGAGGATTTATTTCTTCTAAGGAAACTCTCCCAAATGAGACACACCGCAGGCAGCACTCTTAAGATCCCACTTTTCCCAGCATGTAAAGCTCCATGGGAGATTTGTTGTTACGTTAGATGGCAAAGTAGGATATCATGGCAATGTATTTAGGGAGGTGCTGGGGCAAGGAACAATAGACTATAATAGAATCAAAGAATCATAGAATCATAGAATCATAGAATAGTTTGGGTCTTTAAAGGTCATCTAGTCCAACCCCCCTGCCATGGGCAGGGACATCTCAGATGCTCAGAGCCCCGTCCAACCTGACCTGGAATGTTTCCTGGGATGGGGCATCCACCACCTCTCTGGGCAACCTGGGCCAGCGTTTCACCACCCTCAGAGTAAAAAATTTCTTCCTTATATTTAGTCTAAATCTATCCCCCTTTAGTTTAAAGCCATTCCCCCTTGTCCTGTCACAGCAGGCCCTGGTAACAAGTTTGCTGCCATCTTTTTTAGAAGCCTGCAATAGGCTGCAATAAGGTCTCCTCAAAGCCTTCTCTTCTCTAGGCTGAACAACCCCAACTCTCTCAGCCTTTCTTCATAGCAGAGGTGTTCCATCCCCCGATCATTTTTGTGGCCCTCTTCTGGACCCGCTCCAACAGGTCCGTGTCTTTCTTATGCTGAGGGCTCCAGAGCTGGATGCAGTACTGCAGGTGGGGTCTCACCAGAGTGGAGTAGAGGGGCAGAATCCCCTCCCTCGCCCTGCTGGCCACGCTGCTTTTGATGCAGCCCAGGATACGATTGGCCTTCTGGGCTGCGCGCGCACATTGCTGGCTCATGTCCAGCTTTTCGTCCACTAGTATTATTATTGGAGTATAATAATCCCCCAATAATTTGGAGAAAAATTGGATTTTATGTTGTTTTCTGTGTAACAAGTAAGACACTCTCCCTCCCACCACTGTGAGTCCCATGAGTGCAGCCTGGGTTCAGAGGATGGTGGTGGGCTTGCTCCAGCTCCAGAGGCAGTGGGGCATGGCCCTGCACATGCAATATCTTGTATTCAGCAGTCCCATGTTCCGGCGGGAGGCGAGGGTCTAATATTGTTACGTTATGACAGGCACAGATTTCCCAGCATGGGCAGAGAGGGGGAATAGGGGCATGGGCAGCTCTGCCTGTGCAAAGAATGCTCAAGCTGGGCTCTTGGTGCACGTCAGAGGTGGGAGCAGGGGCGAGGTGAGGGCATCTCACCCACCTCCCGGGTCTTTGCAAACATGCGAAGGCTCTAGGAAAGGGAGAAGCAGCACAGGGGACAGCAAGTCTGCAGGAACGGTGCTTGAAGAGCTGCAGCTGCTAAAAAATGAATGAGTGGCTTGTCTAGAACAGCCATTTAGAGCTGCGCTGAGGAGGGAAGGAGAAGGCGGCGAAGGGGTGTTCCTCCCACCAGCCAGCCCAGCTGAGAGCCTGCCAGGGCCGGCGCGAGGGAAGGCTTCCACATCGACAGTGCACCATGTCCTGAGTCGAACCCTGTTATGGTGGCTGGCATGCATGATTTCCATAACAGGCTGGCTGAGGAGATCTGCTGGCAGGGCTGCGAGCTGGACTCTCCTGCACTCGGGAAGCTCTTCCTGAGTGGGTAAGTGCTGAGCCTCACAGCTATGCAAACAAGGAAACAAAAAGCTACTAGCCTTTGTCATGAGCCATTATCCAGTGTTGAAGGAAAGCTGCTCTTGAATGTTTCTTGGGAAAAAAAAAAAAAAACAACTCCTCTACCTGATTTGCATGGTGGTGAGTCAGGTAGTGATGTGCTGGCTAGATGGCTGCAGCCCTCATGGCCACCCACTCCTGGCTGCTGTGCACACTTACTCGAACATTGCAACTTTGATGACGAACCGCCTGCTTATCCCCAGCTGCCTCCCACTGCCTCACCCCATGTCATGCAATGCCTTAGGTGGTACAAGCAGCAGGAAGTTTTGCAATTTTCTGCTTATTTTGCCAGTGGAAAAATGGCAGCCTGCCAGGTGCCGCCATATCTTCTATGTCTGCACTTCTCTGTGCTTGTAAGAGAGGTGCAGGTGACTTTCATGTTTTGAGAAGCCCAGTTTAACGGCAATGCTGCTTGGCTTGGCTTGGCAGCGGCGTGTTTGCTGGCAGCTGTCCGTGCGTGCTGGCTGGCAGGACCGGGAGCCTCTCGGTGCCTTCCTGGCCAAGTTTTCACCTCTCCACTATGCACCGGCTGTGGCTGGGAGGGCCAGACCTGCTCACCATCTCTCTGAAGAAGGAAAGCTTTTGGGTGCAAAGTCCCAGCTACAGGAGGCCAAAGGGGCTGCGGCTGGTGGGTGTGGTGCAGCAAAGAGGTGCTCGAGGGCTTGAAGCAAAGGGTGCTTGAAGTGCCATTTCCATGGATGATAGCTTGCAGAGCAATATTTTTTTAGAAGCAAGTATTATTCTTCAGTTATGAATAAGCCTTGTGTTTCTTACACCAAGCACAGTCTGTCCGGCTGGGACCTTGCTCAGGAGCATTTATGTATCCAAGAGGTATTTATATTTGATAACTCTATATCAAACAATATACTTGCTGTGCACCAAAGGCAGTTTCTGCTCCTTTTGAAGTTACTCAGAAAAATACCCACTAAACACACAATATATCTACACAATTGATTACAGGTTTATAAATCAGCCACTTGCTGTAACACACACACACATGCATGCGTGTGTGCGAAAAGCTTCGGTTGACAGACTAACTTCATAAAGGGCCCGAGTTAATGTGAAGCACGCATTAGGCAGCCAAATGAACGGCGCCAGGCTTTACCTGTGGTGTGGTAGGAGGAGGACACCATGCAGCCCCACAACAGTGCCACGGAGAGAGTGTAAAGCTGCCGGAGAGCCATTCAGAGGTAGGACGTCAGGGGTTCCCGCTGGAAGGTGTGCGGCGTCAGAAAAGCAGTCCTGCAGCACATGTGCAAGGAGGCTAGAGAAATAAAGCAGAGCTGAAAGGCTTCAGCACATCGGTGTGGCCCTAGCATTCCCTCTGCAGGGTGAGCACTGACAACGAGTGCCTTTTTACTCGTTTACCAGCCTGATTAATCATTTCCCAGAGGACTTTTATTTGTAACTTTTGGGGATGGCAACACATAGATGACTTTTTGGCTTCATTTGAAATAGTTTCTGGCTAGCTAAGCACATTCTCTGAAGGCATGTCAGCCTGTACTTCAGTTATCAAGCCATCTGCCACG